CCGCAATTTCTTCTGCGACTGCAGAATTCCTTTTGCGAACCGCACAGTTGTGCTCTTGTGCCCTTTATTTCCTTGTGTCTCAGGCTACTCCTTTTTGAGTTGGATTTCATCTTGGGAGATCAATTTCTATCATTCCTGCAATTTTGCACAGTTTCATTAGTTTTGGGAATATAATTCAATGCTTTTAGACTAAAAAGAAGCTGAAAGCCCTAATAAACAGTCAAAATCCCCACGTATCACCATTTCTTCAAAGGTTCTATGGAGCGGGCTGGTAGTTGTGAGTATCATGTTAATGCTCCCTCATAAGGGTTTTGCCAAACTTCTTCAGCAAAATGGAGGGCACTTGTTCCCTGGTAAGGTCGTTACCTTTCACGACGGTGACATAATGAGTCACGTGATCTTTAGGATCAGTCGTTCTGTCGTATATCTCGAGGTAGGGTGGCATTTTGAAGGTCTTTGGTATGGTATGCGGAGCTGCTTCTTCGTTGTACGACTTCTCTATGAACCTTCCAACATCCCTCTTTGGCAATAGCTTAGGAGCGTCCGGTATTTTGTCAACTTGTTCTTGGTGTTCTTCATTTGATCCCTGAGTCCTTTGTTTTCGTTCTCTATTTCTTCCATCCTTCTTAGAACAGAAGCAAGAACGTTATCGCCTACATTGTTAGTAACGTTGTGAATTATACCTGGCGTTGGTACGACTGGTCGGTCACCCCGTTCATCCAGTTGTTGTATTGCGTAGGTTCTTGCAGTCTCTGTAGTCGTGCATGGAGTGGGCTTGTTGAGCACGCTCACTAGTGTATCAGTTAGCCATGCTTCGAGGAGCTTTTTCACGGCTGGGGCCACGCTTCTTTTGTGGACGTGGAGGCCCCTTTTACATTTGGTTTTGTTATGATACATTGGGGGAGGCAACCTCTCGTGCCTGAGGGAGGCAGTGGGCATCACGTCCTCGCTTAATGTCTCACAACTCTCGTTGATAGCGTTCATGAGGTTGGTGGGGAGGTTACCTTTTACTTTAGTCCTCTATCCTTGGATACCTGCCATGTAGGTTTTTGTACATGCAGAGAAAAAGATCTTAGGGTTTGTGGGGTTAGTGACTCACGTTAGCTGCAGATCTAAAGAAAACTAAAAAATTAACTAAGAAATCCCCACAAACAGCGTCAAACTGTTTGACCAAAAATATCAATCTTGGTTTAACCAATTATATTTAAACGGATGAGAGTTAATCTTAGTTAAAAATAATATTCTAAAGACAAAGTTGTCGTGACCGTGGCAAATAACTAGTATATTTATCCGAATGGCAACGAGCATAAGCAATAATAACGGTATTTAATGATCCAAAAAGGTGAAGCATGGCATTTAATAACAATATAACAGTAAATGACATTTATGTAAATAAAATGTATGAGTCACCCGAGAAGGGATGAGATCGGTGGATATTCTTTCTTATAATGATGAATGATTGATAAACCTTTGAACATTTGGGTTGTTCTTGGATCCAGTGGAGATGTTATGCAAGAATCTTGATAAAAAGGTTATTTTTGTATATATGTGATAAGACCAGATTCTCTCTTACAAAATTAATGTGTTCTTTACAAAATGAATATCCCCTTCTATCATTGTGTCTCTTTCTATTTATGGGGAACATGTTCCTAGAAACCCTAATAGTACAAGTGTAGAGAATATCCACTAGAATATTCTCGTTTAATGTCGTATCTTGAAACTAGCCGTTATAACTCTGTCAAGGGTGTTTGATCTCGACCTTGATCTTTGATGACTCCTCAGCCGCTACCTTCATTGTTCCTTGAATTGCTTCGACACATGGCGGCTTGTGAGCACCTCGCTAAGGCTATCATGACTTAAGCATTTCAGAGATAGATTTTTGCTAATTCTTTGATTTTTTTAAAGCTATATATATATATATATATATATATATATATATATATATATATATTGAAAATGATTAATTTAAATAACTTGGCATTCTGAACATTAAATGGCACAAATTGAGCAGAATACTAGTTTCCACGATGCATTAAAATTTTAGATTCGCCTTTAAGAAAGCACCCACAAAAGGTAGCTTTGTTTACTTGGACAACGAGTATATTGCTCAAATGGTAGCTTTACTATCGAAAATTTTGTAGTAAAGTCATTTTGTTTTTAACACAAAAATTACTTTTTTATACTAATGTTACACCATTTTAGTGACTTTTGGTCAATTGACAAAATGAACAATGGGGATAGCATAAGGTACGTACGAGGCCATCGATCTTAAGACATCCTGCTGAAGAAAGGGAGAAAAGACAATTACTAAACACCCAACTTAATTTATACATTGGGCAGTTACAGATGAGTCTAGAAAAGTCATCAAACCACTTCAAACCATATGGTCTTGTAAAACATGCAACTACATCTTTTTTGTTTCGATATTTCTTTACTAAACAATCACAAACACTTTTCTAATTTCTTTAATCACACAAGAACCTACTACCAGGGTAACCTCTTGTTCTACAAAGGAGTCCTGAAATGTTAAATAGCTTTTCCCAACTAGCACACGAACTTACACTTTTTACATAGCACATGTTTATATATAAAACTAGTCTTAGAATACGCATATTGTGTGTGTTTTCTGTGTAAATAAGTAAATAACTTTTAAAAACTCACATAAGTATTATTTTAAACAATATCTTTGAATTATAATAAAAATAAAATGTATAAAATTTAATTATTTTTACCACTTTATTTGAGTGTAAAAATCCAAACCCCACCAGACTCATTTAAGTAAAATGCCAAAATAAAAAAGTGACTACTACCTTGAGTTATAATGTTAACACGTTTAAGACAAAAAAAGTTGGAGTGGGATCTACATAATTGAAATAAGAAATTTTTTACTAATAAGTCAAGTTTTAGTTGATTTCAAAGTCCTAAATTAGGAAGTTAATTAAATGACTATTCCTAAAAAGTTGGGAATAATTAAATGAATATTCTTAAATATTAGGAAAATAATTAAATGACTATTTTGTTTAGTGTAAATTTTAATTTTGAAGGGTAAAAAAGGCGAACGATATTTCGACAAGGGCCTTCGTACTTTTAATATAGATAGATGATACTAATAGTAATTAGTTTAATATACATGGGAGCTTAATGCATATAGTACATAGGTGGATCCAGAAGTTCGATTTTTAAGATCCTAATACTTTTAAAATTATTAGTTCATATCTAATGTACCGTTTTACAAACTGTTTAGTGAGTATATCTGAATGTTACTTCTTCATCGTGAAGCTATGAACACCCCACCCTCCGATCACGTTGAACCACCCGACATCAGCACTATGCAAATTGATGAAGCACACTCCCTTCCAACCTCAAGCACTTTCCGCCAGAAGCTACTCTCCAGTTCCCCAGATGTTATAAATTGCCAAACCACCCTTTCCAATAAACAACTATTAGACCTCACTAATGAAATAATCGCTGCCGCAAATCCGGAAGATTTTATCCCACTATCTTCCACTGATAAGAGTCTATTATACCTCCCTTGGCAATATTCGATTATTATTAAAGTTTTTGGCCGAAAAATAGGTCATCAACTACTCAAACAAAAGCTTACTGCTATGTAGAAGACTTACCACTCATTGATTTTGGCGATGATTTCTTCCTAATTAAATTCTAAAAGGAGAAAAACATGATGGACCTTGATTTGTGTTTAATCACTTTCTCTCTGTGAGATGTTGGGAGCCCAAGTTCATTGCCTCCTCTGCGCAACTCACATACTCTGTGATTTGGATTCGTCTTCCCGAACTCCCTACTGAGTTTTATGATCTGAAAATCCTCCAAAGGATTAGAACGAAAGTGGGTAAACTACTCAAAGTGGACGCCTGAACTTCCTCCATAACACGAGGACGTTATGAGCGTGTTTGCATAGAGGTACCACTTGAAGAAACACTCAAATCATCTGTATATATTGGCTCCCATGAACAAACTATTTTGTATGAGGGTATTAATCTACTATGCATAACTTGTGGATGGTTTGGCCATAATCCAAATCTATGTCCTTCCCAACCTACCCCAATCACCTCATCACAACATCCCTCCCCTACTCCAAATACTGCAGCTACAAGTACCCATGCCACCATTCCAACAAAATCTTTGCAATCCCGTGCTCATGAATGGAAAACAGTTGTTTTCCCATCCAAGCATTCTCGAAAAGGAAAAGGCATGCAACGGGTTCTAGATGATTTCGTCAATAAGCCATTTTCCATGAAATCACCACTAGCCAAACCAGGTAAGGCAGCCGCCATTGCAAGGCCCGCAGATAAGTCTTCTATCTCCAATCCACTAAATTCAAATTATGTTTCTAATACAAATTTGAGCTCTAATAATGCTGGGCTTCTTAACTCCACTAATTTGTTTAATTGTTTAACCAATCTATAAGCAGGGGATAAAAGCCCCTCATTAAGCCAAGTGTCACAATGCAAGCACGACACATGTCACATTCGGACAAGACTCCTACATATTAGGAATAAACTAACGAAGTACAATTTTAATTACATTAGGTATTTTCGATAGAACTTATTTACTCAATTTTTTTTTGCAAAATTCTTCTAAAACCGCCGGTAAAGATTGTCTTCGAATTAATTAATTTAAATTTGTTTAAAATCATTAAATGAATGATTTTTTGCATTTATTCCAAAATCGCCGCTGAAGATTCCCTGCGTTTATTTATTAATTTAAATTTGTTTAACAAGCCTTAATTGAACGTGGGTAAAACAATTTGTTTAACAAGCATTAATTGAATAACAAGCATTAATTGAACGTGGGTAAAACAAAAAAACCGTTCAAACTTCCAGTAATATATCTAAATTAAATTTATTTTAATTATTTTTAAACAAACGTGACCGGAATCGTTTTACTCCACAAAATTTGGTAAACAAATTTTAACTTCAATTAACCCTAAATTTTATCTGCAAAGTCACGTTTTCTCTCTGCAAAGTCACCTTATTTTGAACTGTCAAACCCACGATTTACTATATTGGGTATCAACTGCTCAAAGCTCAAAATATATATTTCTTCCACATGTACAACTGCTTCAATTCTAATGTTCGTTCTTCTACCAAGATTTCAACAAAAATTACGAATTACCCAAAAGATGGCCGCTAACAATGATTTCATCAAGGATATAACTATATCAAAGATGCAATGGAAGTTGAAAGTTCGCGTTGTCCGTATGTGGGAAAAACCGGATCATTTTAATCCTGGCTCTATATTCTCCATTGAATTGGTTCTACAAGATGAAAAGGTATTTTTATTATGTTATTTGCTTGCTAATTCCTTTGTGCTATTCGAAATTTAAATGTCAATATCCATAGATTTGTTTTGCTCTTCCAGATTTAAATGTCAATATCCAAAAATTTGTTTTGTTTTTCTAGATTTTTATAGGAATATTTCGTTTAGTTCGAACTGTAAAACAAGTTTATTACCAATGCTCAGCTTTATATTCCGTATACATGTGGATAATTTGTAGTTGTTGTTTTTCTTTGACAATTGCACGTAATTAATTATTTGTACATCGGGGATATGCTTATGGAATCATATTGAAGGAAAGAAGACCATATTAGTATTTGTTGACGCTTATAATCTAGATTAAGGTAACACCTTTTGAAAAGTGTGAACCAGATGTGAGGATATTTCCCTGTTCAATTCATTCATCCTTGGATAAGTTACACAGTTAAGTATAAAAAAAAAGAAACAAAGGAAGAACAGCAAGAAATCAGAAAAAGAAAGTTTAAGAAGAAGTTCTTCATAAAACTCAATATCACAATCTTCAACTCAAACAGAATTCTCAAAAGGATTTCCCTCTCAATATCCTTTTCGATTTCTTGCCTGATCGCGTATTTGCATGCTCGTTGACATATTTAAGTAATGTCTGCTCCAATGTATCCTTATTTTAACTTTGCTAGATGTATCGAGTCTATATTGCTAGAAACAGGTGATTTTCTTAAGCATGTTTTATAAACATTTGCATGACTTGCAAATCTGCTTTTTTGTATTTTTTATAAACATTTACATGACTTGCAAATCTGTTTTTTTTTGTGGAATTAGTGTCACTAATTAAATTGTTTAACTCTACTGTTTAAAACTAAAGCTAATATAAATACTAAACTATACAGATTTGTATTATCTTTCCTTTATTGTAATTTCTTTGTAGGGCGATCGTATACATGCTTCTATTGGCAAGTCTTTTTTGCATATTTTCAACAAAAAAATTAATGAGCTTGGAGTATATCTTATGGCGAACTTTATCGTCTGCCAAAACAAGGAGAGGTTCAACACCACAAAACATAGATTGATGCTGACGTTTACTCAACGGACAACAGTGGCTGAAATAATTGATCCACTTTTTCCAATGAATATCTTTGAGCTGCGACCATATCATCAATTGATAAATAAAGTTGATGTCAATGAGAGTGAATTATTTGGTAATATTTGCGTTTATTTTAATTAATTTTTACATATTTTTTTAATAGATTGATGCTAATTATTTTTACATCTTTAATATTCTTTAGATGTTATCGGAGAAATTGTCAATTTTAGTGAGGTACAAACGCAAAAACAAGGTGAAATTACTAGTTGCTAATTATTTTATGTCATTTGGATGATAAAACATTGTATTCTCTACATAAAGCATTTCAGTAATTCTTATTATCTGAGAAGAGCAATTGTAATTGTAAAAGCCAACAATCATCTTGGACAGCATGGGATCATTCGAAAACACATCCATTTATGCACTTGTTTTTGTTAACTTACCATCCTCATCGAGGGAAACAAGCACAAACAACAGATGCAGGCCTTTAAGTAGACTTTCAGTTGTTGTACTCTACATGAAGTAAAAGTGCATCAAGTATTTAATCCCTTGAGTAAGAGCACGACATTTGCTATATTTTTCCTTTTTATTTCAACAACTGTCTTATCTTACAAATTGTTAATGTAGCTATGTGCAGTGTATAACAGGAAGCACTTTCCATTCGCTGTTTGTCCTGATCGAGCAGAACTTTGGTTTTCAGACGTCGTGGATATGGGAGCGACCATCAATGACTCGGTTCCTTTCCGAGGTTTGTAACACTGAATCTTAACTTTATAGAATTTATCGTAGTAACATTATAAAATATGTATCATTAACCATATTGAAAGAAATCAAGTTTCTTAAGTTTTATGTTATCTATATAGTGTAATTATTTCTTCATGCAAATTTATTACAGTTTTATATGGTAGCCAACTTTTGCCACATATCGTCAAATTATATTTAGTTACTTAAGATCGATAATACAAATCCAGCGCTAATTAAGGCGATATTTTCAATATAGCCTTAATATTTTCTTATCGGTTTTATTGAAGTATCTAATTGCCTACTAGCTCAAACTAAGGCTACACAAGGTGGAGCCAACAAGATGAATAGGTTATTGAAGAGGATATATTACCAGATGGTCCTTGTGGAGAGGAGGAATCATCTGATAAATAAAATTACTAGGAATAACACAGTGTAAATAACAAAGGTAAGGGCAACAAACAGTAGAAAGAAAGAGAGGAGATGAGGAGAATATAGATTAAGGTTACAGTTGTCAAAAAGGAGATGATGGAGGGGAAGTGCAGAAGAATTTGAATACTAATCCTAAAAAATATTTACCTCCAGATTAACCTAATATACCTGTTGAAAAACAGGTTGGAGAAACAGGAATATTGGTGGAGCTTGCAGAGGGACAAACTGTGATGTTGCAGACATAAGCTGAAACTGGGAAGGCCAATTTAGGTGCCTCAGTTCTATTGATTCATGTGATAATACAGAAGCAGGAGCAGCACGTACTGACCAAAAATTTGTTGCAGCAGTAAACAAACTTCATGACAAAAACAATACAGTCATAGTTCCAACAGGTATGCAGCAACAGTTAGTTGACCCAATGTCAGTCAGAGGCAACAATCATGTTGGACAGAACCGTCTATCAATTTCATGATCGAAGTAAACCTCATTTGTATTATTTTAAATTTGTAGGTCGCTAATGAAGATAATTTGTTAATCGATATTGCAAACTCATCAGCCAACATAGGTATATCTATTGCCGCAACAGTGATCCATGAAGATTTGAATGCACACTTATATGGAACTAAGATGAAGAGACTATTTAAATACCCTATGTAATTTGGATGCTAAAAACTGAACGTCATTTGTATTTTTTTATATTTGTAGGTCTGTAATGAAGATAACGAGTTTATCGATATTGCAAACACATCAGCCAACATATGTATATCTATTGCCGCAAAAGTCGTCGAAGAAGATTTGAATGCACGGTTATATGGAATTATGCTCAACACTGTGTTTAAAATACAGAAATCAGCTTTACTTATTGCATATGTAATAGTTGGAGAAATCAAACACATTCTTATAAGTTATTTTAGTAGTTAAATTGTTATGAACAACATATTTTTAGCTTTTCATGTGGAGAGGATTAAGGTTGGATATTTGCCAGACACTGTGACTGTACAAGTCGAGAATGCAGTAGTCAACTTCTTCATCCATTTAGTAGAGCAACAAGATCAAATAGTCATATAACTTCATCCATATGCTTTGTTTAAGTGTTTCTGACAGTTGAGTTCCAAGTCTATATTCAAATTAGTTCAACGGCAGCTAAAGAAAAAATAAGCCTGAATAAGAATTCACTAAATCCTGCTCACATGTATCCAATTCTGAAATTGTAAATGAAAGCGTAATGCATTAGGATCGCACCATAACAATATATGACAGTCTAAAAGAGTCGTAGCTACCTTAGCTATTTAGTTATGTATATAATCTTCTTTATCAAACTGTGTGTTTCTGCTTTGCTTTTAACTACAAAACAATAACTAGACAGAAAAATAGCTGGAAAAAAATTAAAGAAATTGCCACAGAAAAAACTGCCACACAACCTCTACCCATTTAACCCCCACGTTCTGCCACTCCTACAGTAACAACAAATGCATATTCCAACCATCTCCTTAACAATTCCATCCACAAATCTTCCCCACTTACACACCATACCCACTTTCACACTATTATCTTCCCATGATATTATAAAATCTTATGAAAAGGGAGACGGTAAAAGAAGAACAAGTGACAGAAAAACGAAAACTGATAAACTCCAAAGATATTACGTACAATTTATTTCTGGAAAATCTCGATAGCGTCATCTCTCTAAATTTCACTCGATAACAACGGTATGATTTTTATATCACTTTTTAATTTAGTATGTAGAAGTAGATTCGTGTTGTCAACTTATTAATATACTAACTTACATAAGCCTCCGTAC